AGGTTGACTTTGCTGCTTGTTAGGCATCTAGGGAGCCTGCAGAGCTCCCTGTGGTAACCAGGGCAGCCCCCACATGGGAGCTCTCCAGCACCCCATGCCTGGTGCCTGGTGCCACATCCCCAGAGATCTCCCCTGGAGAGATTGAGAGCCTGACCTTTATCCCAGCAGGGAGGCCATTTGTCTAATGTTCGTTTGAATCCTCTTGCCGCTCTCTTTAACCCATTTTTTGTGGACTTTTTTTTCCCCCCTTGCTTATAAAATTAGCATGTTCATTATAGAGCTAGGAAAACTGCAAGAAGCATGTGATCTGGAGACGGGTGTTAGCTTTCCAACATTGTCCCGGAGTCTGAGTGGTTTTTTGGGCATGTTTGCTCCTTGTATTTGAACTTCAGCTCTTCTCCGGCCCACTGGCCTTGATCTTTCTCCTCTCCTGCCACCCTCCTGGGGCGGCATTTCTTCCTCGTCTGAGGGGGAAGAACTTCTACAGCCGGTCTGGTGGCTCAAGCTGGGCACTGCAGTCAGTGAGGCCCGTTTTTGGTCAAAATTGAGGCAGTGACTGTAAAGCAGTGCTGTGACTCTTCCCACGAGTGAGGCTGGCCTGGTGGCCCTGGCCCAAGCCGAGTTCGGAACCTTCTTGAGTAAAGGCAGTGGTACTGGAATAAACAACTTCCCGAGGTGGCTGCTGTGGGGGTGAAAGGCTGAGTGGTTAAAGCAGTCGGTTGATCGCCAGAGGGCTGGAGGTTCGAACCTATAGGCCGCTCCGCAGGAGAAAGACGCGGCAGGCCTCCTGGTGACATGACAGCCTGGGGAAACCCTGTGGGCACTATGAGTCAGTCAAGCGGGCTTGCTCGCTCGGCTCCACTGCCACTGTGCCCCCCGGGTGCCCCCTCATCTGGCCCTCCGGACATTGGCTGAGTCATAAGTTCCTTGTGCTTACTTGCACAGAAGAGCTGGACGCTTAGTATTTTACAGTACCTTACTGTTCATGTCCCCAGGCCCAGCTGTTTCCTCCCCTGTGTTCTTCTCTGTCGCCCTCCCCGTGGGGGGCCCTGCCCTCTGGTGGCCTCCTCACATGGCCTCGTCCTTGGTACCCAGGCTCTGACTGAGCCCCTGGCAACCACGCAGCAGAATGGGCCTCCCGCAGCGGGTGTACTGCCCACTGTCCACAGGGGCAGTTCACCAAGTCTTTCCCCCGCAGAGCGCTTGCTAAGTGTGGGGTGCACTCAGTCTTGCTACCCTGTCTCTGTTACATGACAGGCCTCTGCACTGACACAGGTAGCCCAGGAAATGAGGGAAACATGGCAGAGTTTACCCCTTACTCTCAGCGCCAGTTGTGGGTGCAGGCTGTGCCAGGAGGGGGGCCCTCTGGCATGTGGAAGGTCAGCTCTGCTCCTTTGCTTCCGTGTCAGATGAGGTGCTCAGAGCACCTGCTGCAGGGTCGCCGGTATGGGCTCACTGTGTGCGCTGGTGCCCTGAGAGCTGGGCAGTGCCATCCTGTACACCTGCGCCTGGCAGCCACACCCAAGTGGTACTGGGAACAGAGTGGCCGAGAAGCCCTGGGCCGGACCCTCGAGAGCTCACAGGTGGCTGGGGAGACATGCCACTGAGCACATCACGACAACACAATGGAGGGGAGCCCAGGGGCCCGTGAGATCCCAGCGGAGGCACCCCATCACAGCCTGGGAGGGTACAAGATGCTAGCTGGGTCACCTTTGCACCACCATCCCCCCACCCTTCCCTTCTTGGGAGCAGCGTCTCCTCTCAGAGACTGAAGGCAGGAGCCAGGCCAACACCACCTTTCCCTGCCTGCTCACCGGGCCTCACTGTAACCCTTGCTTTCTGTTCTCTCTGCTGCCGTGCAAACAGACCTCAAGACAGAAGGTGAGTCTCTGTCTCCTACCTCTCTCCTGGTCAGTTAACACTTATGACTATGGGCAAGAGGCTGGTCTCTGCCGGCAGCCGGCTCGTAGGGACCCACCCAGCGTATGTGGGATGGGGAGACTGAGGCCCCAAGTGGGGAAGGGCCCTCCGTGGCCTGTGCCCCTCACCCATTCGTTCGTTCCCATGGGCCGTGTCAGCGGGGGCACGGGGGCAGGGGCTCTGATTCGGCTCCTAACCCTCTCTCGGGTCTCATGACTTTCCAGGCGGCAAGCTGGTGGCCAAGGCGGAGGAAGGTCAGTGGGCAGTGCGAGGACGGACTGCGCTGGCAGAGTGGGCCCGCGTGGGCTTCTACCGCGGCTGCATGCCTGGGGAGGGAGCAGACGGCCGCCTGGGTTCCCGCCCCTCTCGTCGGTCATTCGTCCCTCCAGCACACACTTTCTGGGCACCTCCCTGTGCCAGGCTTACTGCCCTTGGTGCTGGGGAGGGCAATCTGCGCTCCAGCATGGCCCCAGGCCAGCTGGGTGTCCCTGGGTCTCCAGTCAGATGACCAGGACATTGCAGGCCAAGGAGGGGGAGTGTGGGTGACTGTGCCATGCCTGGCTCACAGCGGTGGGCTTACCTACTCAGACATGCCCCCTGCCCCCCCTTGTCTGGATGGCCATCAGGCAGGCCTGGACAATGAGGACCAGAGCACCAGATGAAGTGCCCCCACCACCACCACCACATGGTGGGCTGCTGGGGTCCCGGGGGAGGGGTGTCACTCTGAGGATTCCAGAGGGAAAGTTCGCCCTGTCTCCCTGGGGTGATGCAAAGCCACCGGCAGGCAGGTCGCAGACCCGTCCCACCTACGTCCTGGCAGTAGCAGCAGCACGTGGAGAGGGACTATATAGCACGAGCTATAGAGCCGGCTCCAGTCGCCTGAACCACAAAGGCCATCCGACTGCTGGGGCTTGTGATGGGCCAGGCAGGACCGAGCAGCCAGGATCTGGGAAGATAGCTGAGCTGCAGGAACCCAGACTCTGGGATGGACCAGCTCGACTGCCCGTGTCTCACTGGGGCCCTGAGCCAGCAGCCTGCAGGCTTACCTGGGGCAGGCCTGCAGGTCAGGGTGGAAACAGGTATCCTGACCAACAGGACGAGGAGAGGGCGAGTTGCTCCAAGAGCAGGCAGACAGGGGAGGGCCAGTTGAACCTGCTCCCATGTCAGGCCTGTCCCTGTCAGAGGGGAACCTCCCAGCAGCCCCAGGGGGGTATGTCAACCCTAGGCTGGGTGGTCAGGTAAGTCAGCGGTTCTCAACCTGTGAGTCTCCACCCCTTTGGGAGGTCAAACGACCCTTTCAAAGGGGTTGCCCGATTCATAACAGTAGCAAAATGACAGTGATGAAGTAGCAACGAAAATCATTTTATGGTTGGGGGAGGGTGGTCACCGCAACACGAGGAACTGTATGAAAGGGTCTCGGCCTTAGGAAGGTTGAGAACCACTGCTCTAAGTGATGCTCTGAGGGTGGGGAGAGGGCCTGGGACTGCTGGGATGTAGGGAGGGGCTCTCTGGAACCCACCGCCCATGGAGCAGGCCTCTGAGTCCCCTGCCCCAGGGGAAGACGGCCGAGGGGGTTGTGCGCGCCTCTGAGCTTTGGCTGCATGTGGCTACGTGGACGCCCCGCGGACTCCAGCCCTTTCTTCCTGCATGAGGTGGCTGTTCTTTCCTTGTGGGGTTTTGACGGGGCGAGAACAGGAGCGGCTGGCACTATCGGGCATGTTTAACACGGTGGTCCTCAACCTTGTCTGTAGGACGTGCTTAAAAATGCAAAGGAGGCCCTGTGGGCCTGGATGAGGATCCGGTTCTTGTTACTGGGGTTTCCGGGGAGCGGTCGACCTCACAGAGACTCTCTCAGTTGTCAGGATATTGAAAATACTTCCCGACTCCCGGGGCGGCCCCTTCCCCAGACATCCCTGCACCTCCCTATGGTGTGGCAACCAGAGGGTCCACTCCTAGCCAGGACTCTGCCTGGTGGCCCATGCCCTTGGACTGGTTGCGGTTTGTTGGGACTCTCACTCCTCTTGAGATGCTTGGGGACCAGAGGGCTCCACCCTTCCTTGCTCCTGCGAGGGACCTTGCACCCCAGCCCCGTATGCTCCATCTAACGTACAGAGAGAGACTATCGCTGGGGGTGCCGCTCTAGCTGACATTTGGTGCCCCCAGGCCCAGCAACCTCATTGAGTAGGGTCTGCACCATCCCCACGCCAAGGGGCCAAGCTCGAGACATGGCCTGTGCCCCAGGAGTTCAAGTCTTGCTTTCCGAGCCTCCTGGTGGCCAGGTTCTCTGCCTGGTCCCCCGCAAGTAGCAGGGTTTCCTTGTCTTTTATTGTGGCGTCTGGCCCGTGAAGACCCAGCCCCCCTTTTCTCTCTCCTGCCAGGGCCCGTGAGTGGCGGCAGTCCAGCGAAGGAGGTGCAGCTGATGGAGAATGGAGTGCTGGTGACAGACGCTTCGGGGAAGCAGCTGCAGAGGTGAGGGTGGGCAGGGACCCACAAAGAGCTGAGCTTACCGGGCCCCAGGAAGGGCTACCTTCTGCCTTCTCTCCCGGATCTCCTGCACCTGAGCCTTGGCACCATTTCTGCCAGGGGCTCAGCTCACAGGGACCTTGTGACCTTGTGACTGAACTGTCGGTCAGTCCTTCTGGCACGCCAGGCCCCTACGTGGTGTGAGCCTGTGGCAGGGTCAGGGCGAGGAGCCTGGAGCTTACAGGCGCCGGTGCTGGGTTGAAAGCAGTCACAGCGAGCTCCCTGTGCACCATGCTTCGCCCAGGCTGGTGATTCTAGAGATCGTTCCTGCCGTC